CAGGAATGGCACCTCACTGCCACCCCAACCCTGGGCCCACTGTCACCTGATATTTCTGCCTGCCCATCTTGCACCTATTTTGTTGGCAAGGGAGGATCCTTTGAATGATATTCCCATGAGAACAGAGATGCCAGACACTCTGCCCCCAAAGCTATCAACTTCTTTCCCTTCTGGCCCATTATGACTATAATAGTGAAAAACATATTTTATGGGGCTTTTCATGGTCATTGCCTCATAATGCTGTGTGGTTGAGAGGGTTATGTCCATTTTAAAGATGGGAAAACTGAGACCCAGATTGGTGAAGTTGCTGGCCCAAGATTCAGCAGTCAGGAGGTTGCAGAATCCAGCCTCCTGACTCAGAGCCCCGGGATCCTTCCCAGGACCCAGTTACGGTCGGCAAACAGCACCCAATGAGCAGGTCCATTTCGGAGCCTCCAGGCTGATGTGATTTATTGAGGCCCACAAAACACCAGTGTCAGCGACAGCTCCCGCCACATGTCACCTGTGCTGTTATTAAAAATCAATTCTGTGGGGGGCAAAGAACTACCCGTGCTGACAGTGTGCAGTGTGTTACTGTCACTTATTTTATTATCTATCTTCTCTGGGGAGCTCGAGAATGGAAACATCAGCAGAACCATTTCCCTGTTTCGAGTTGAACACCACGGGAGATGGGCTCATCTCATTGGCTGTGGCTGGACCTGCTGCCCCCGCCCCCGCCATCCCCCCTCAATCCCAATCTATTGTCCCCCATCCCAGTCTTCCAGTTCTGGGCATAGCTTGGCTGCCAGGGGGTGCGACCTGCCATTTCAATGGGATCCGTGTGCTTATGTTCATAATTAGAGTAGTTCTGGTTGGGACAGCTCAACATGTGGAAGGGAGAAAGAGAACGTTTGCCTGTCCATCTGTCTGTCTACCAGCGTGGTGGGGTGCACATCACCCCGCTGTCCAGGATTTCCTCCTTCCTCAGCACCTCGTTGGTGTCACTCCAGAACCAGTGCTGTCATTAGTTCACCAGGAGTCCACATAAAACATCCAACACACTTGTGCTTGCTTCTTGAATTCAGAATGAGTAGGCTTTTCGCACCATCATTTTAGAATCATGGGCTCTCGTAGATAAAAGAGGATCTCAGAGGCCCTCATTCCAACTATCTACCTCAGTGGGGAGCAACCATCTTCTGCATAAGGGCCAAAGCAGGAAAAATTAAAATGTTTATGGGCTGCGTTTCTTTTATGATATTTGTATCCTTTCTCCCAGTAATTGCACGTCTAGGAATTTTTACGAAAGGGTATCCAAAAAGAGAGAAAGGTTCTCTGCATTAAGAGCTTGGTTGCACTGTTATTTTTAACCTAAATTTTAAATATTACCCAGAAGGCCACAGTGGGGAAATATTTAAGTAAAGCGTGATGCAACCAGTCGATGAAGTGCAATTATTGAAAGAGGAAAACTAATAGCAGAGTGGGAACCTGTTTACCGCATTGCATTATGTGGAAAAATAAGCCTAATTTGTATATTGTTACAATTATAACTGTATATATGTACAATTGTAACATATATACAAATTAGGTTTATTTTTCCACATAACACTATGTGGTAAACAGGTTTCCACACTGCTATCTAGTAACTGTAACCATATCAATTATAACATTGATAACCGTGAAGGACTGTAAGGGAACATGGGCACATAAATGAAAAAAACCATTGATAGCTAACGGGTAATATCAAATCATTTCTGTAATAAATGAAGACAAAGTTAAAGATGAATGAAGGCAGTAACATATTTATAATTTGGGGGGTTGGGAAGCAAAGCAGGATTTTGTAAATCAGAAATGGCAGTACCTGTAACTGCATGTGGTCATTCATATGTTCTTTTCTCATCTCTAACGGGTTTCATTAATTTGATTCGAATTTCAGAAATAACCAGAGACCCAGGGATGCTGGCAGTTTGGGGTGAGGAAGGAGGATAAGCAGCAAGGTTCAGCCACAGACGAAGGCCAAAAAGTGTTCTGGAAAGCAGCAAGAAAGACGTGACATTTAGGAAGGAGGGGGGGGGGGGGGGGAAAGAGAGAGAGAGAGAACCTAAACTTAACAGAGACTTAAAGAGACATATCAGTCATTTTTATTTTTTATTTTTTTAACATCTTTATTGGGGGATAATTGCTTTTCAATGGTGTGTTAGTTTCTGCTTTATAACAGAGTGAATCAGTTATACATATAGAGAGAGAGAGAGAGAGAGAGAGAGAGAGAGAATGTGTGTGTGTGTGTTGGTGGGTGGATATGAATACATTTCAGAGACAGGATATTGGTCAAGGAGCTTTGGGAACAAAACTTTGTGTGAAAATATGCTTCTCCTACCTCACTCGTAATCTAAAAATAGCCGGAAGAGAACATCCTCCTGGACGTTCTAGTCCTTTTTCGGGGATCTGTGTGTTCCCTGATCTTTGCCCCACGCCAAGCCACATGCCTTGTGTGCGTGTGGTCCCAACTGTCACCCCCCGGCCCCAGCTGCAGGAGGGCCACCTGGAATCAGCGCCAGGACTGTGTCGGTGTGTGCTTGTGAGGGAGCGAGCGGGATTATCATTCATCATCCGTATTTTTTTAGCTCCTGTTCCCTGAAATAAGACTGTGCTTGCTGTTTATGCACATGCGGCTGTTCCAACCCCATTCCGTTTTTGACCAGCTGTTGAACGTCAGGTGATTCTGGTGAGCCAAAAGGTGACTCCTTGTGGTCCTGGTTTGGCCTTTTTGTGCCACCAAAAAAAAAAAAAAAAGTTTAATTATGAATTTTAGAAGTGGGGAGTGAGTCTCAGAAACCCTGTCCAAACCACTCATTTTTAAGACAAGGAGGCAGATTCAGAAAGGTTTAATGCCCACTGTGAGCTAAATGCTATGCTAAATACTGCGGCGGGTGGGGCACAAATAGTGAATGTAGCACAGTTCCCGCTTTCAGAGAGCACACGGTCTAGAACGGGAAATAGACAAACAACTACAGTACAGGGTGATGCCTGTGAAAGAGCCATAGGAATACAAGTGAGAGGCATGGAAGCCAGTACTGGCCATCAAAAAGACTTTGAGAGATAGTTATCACTGCTGACATTTGTTAAACCTTGACTATGCACTGCACACTGGGCTAAATGCATTAGTTACATTGTCATATTCACTCTTCCCATCAATTCTATGAAGAATATACCACCATTATCCCCATTTCCCAGATGAGGAAACAGAGGCTTGGCAAAATTGAGTAGCTTTCCCAACGTGACACAACGAGGAGAGAGTAAAATTGGGATTTGAACCCAAGACTGTTTACTCTCAGAATCACTGCTCTTAACTTCTGCTCCCAAGGCTGAGTCTGGGATGCCAGAGGGAGTTACCCAAATAGGGATGGGAGTGAAGAACATTCTAGGCAGGAAAAACAGAAATGCACTGGACAGAAGCCTGGAAGTCAGGAAGGGCATGTGCATGGGGGTGGAGGGGTGGGATGTACAGGAAGCTCCAGGTGTGGCTGGAATGTGGCTTCTGGGTGTGAGAACAGGAGGAGATGCTGCTGACTAGTCATAAGGTGGGAGCAGAACCAAGGCTGGAACCCACGTCTCCTGGCTTCTAGCCCAGTGTTCTACCACCTTCCATCCTGCTCCGTCGTAGGTTATCATCTATTTTTATTGCCTCTCATTTCAGACTTTTCTTGAAGACTGGGGGGGGGGGGG